CCACTTAATCCAAGTTGATCAGCACTATGGAACATCCTCTGGAACACCGTCTTACATAAACCGGCTTTTTTTTCTTCCTAGCTACTAGTGAGATCTCCCAGTGACACTGTGTGATCATCTAGTCAGCTCAAAAGTCTGGGAGTGATGTGTTCTCTTTCAGCGTCTCTTATTGATGTTAACACTGAGCACCAGGTCTGGTAGACTGTCAGCTTTATCTTGCATGGATCTCAACTATCCTGGTACAGGGCAGCTCTCCAGGTAATGGAAAAAGTTAGATGAGCAAGTTTCTTACAAATTGCTCTCTCTGATCTGACTGGCTCAAGGCACTGTGCTCAGGGCTGACAGATTTAAGAGAACACAGGAAGGGATGTATGTGTGACAACATTCTTGTTAGTTGCAGCGTGGCACTCAGAAGGCAATGGCGAGGGACTGGGCTGGCTGTGGATTTTGAATACTTTTCTTGACTTCCTGGGAATACTTTATGCATTGGGTGGGTTTTGACAAAGTTTACCTTGAAGAGGATCTACTGCCTGGGGACCTTGATCTTGACCTGGAATATGGTGATCGAGAACACGACCTGTGTCGAGAAAAAGACCTTGAACGAGAGCGCATCCTTTGGGGTCTTTGAGAAAATAAGGATTTGGGTGGCGACACGGAATCTCTACATGGAGAGTTAAAAGAAGAGCAAGAAGGCGACACATCAAACAATGAATAGGATTGCGTGCCATCCCAAGGGTAGCTTAGTTTATCACTTTCATCTTCGCTGTCATCAAACAGGCCATCCATGGCTAGTCCTGAATTTATAAACATAGGTAGTTTGGAGAATTGTTCATTACTGAAATCACTGTCCCTCAGTTCACTGGTCTTGTCTGCTTCGTCATCAAAAACAGCTTGACTGGGATGACCGAAGTGCTTGTTCAGCTCGGCTCGGATTTCCTGGTCTTGGAGCTGTTTTCTGGTGCTGCTAGGAGAGACCTGCTTGCTTGCCTCCAAAGTCTCTCTCAGGTAGCACTGGTCTGAATCTGTGGAAGAACAAATCTGCCCCTGCAAATCAGAGGAGGCATGTTTATATACTAGTTGTCGAGAGTCTTGGAGCTCCTGTGATATATTAATGCGTATTTCCGTTTTGGAATTAATTGATTGACAGTAGTCATGGTCACCAAACAGCCGCAGACTGGGCCGCTTGGTCTTCCTTTCCTCATGTCCGCTGGTGAGCACTGAGGACTTGCTGAGCTGCGCATACAACTCGGATTGCTCGGGCCCTTTCTTGGTGGAGTTATTGCCTTGGGTACCAGAAGACTCACTGTACCGGGGCTTCTTTGATGGTGGTGGCACCACAGTCTTGCAAGAGGACTTCAGCTTTGGAGAAGCCCTAAAAGGGTTATCTTGGTTGGCTTTATGAGGAGGAGTTGTGGGTGGAGTTAGGCCTAAGGCAAAAAAAAGAAAAAATAAATAAAAAGGAAGAAAGAAAAAGGACAGAGATGATGTTCTTAAATGCCGGAAC